GAATAAATATAATTAATTAGTTAATCAAAAAGAAAAAAAAAATTTTTTTTTCGAATACATTAATAATTCTGAAATTCTAGTCATTATTCTTTTTTCATAATCTATATAACATAACATAATTTATATTGTATATTATATGTAATCATTATTTTAAAACCATATTTTATTTTAGTTCACTAAAAAGTACTGTATGATAAGTTCTTAATCTATTCTATTTATATAAATATTAGATCGATTCAATTAAAATCACGTCGCATAATTTATTGTTAAAAAGATTTATGTAAATGAAATGTGATGAGTAAAAAAAAAAAAGAAACTAATCAAGCAAATACTCCGTAAATAAAGAATTTATAAGTTAGAATAATTTAATTTTTCACTATTTATTATTATTAAATTATTGAATTTTTACAAATCGTGAGCATGCGTTTTTCTTTAATCACATGAGTTAGTATATGGCTTGAACAGGCTGAACATGTCTAAATGGAGAAGATCCTTTAACCAAAACAAGTCACATAAAAAGAATGGCTTGGTAATCATTTGGTTAAACAACAGATAAACGTGGTAAAAACAAATTAAAATTATAGAAATTAGCATGCAATCAATAAACGACACAAAAGTATTTGGAAAGAGATAAATTAATTTATTTTGTAAAGAAAAAAAGAAATTGTTAAAAAAAATATAATAATTCGGAGATGTTGATAAATTTACTAAATTTAATAACATTTACACCATTTATAACCTTTGTTACACTTAAATTTATGGAATAATAATAAATATAGATGAAATACTTGGTATATAGGAAGAAATTTAATTCGTACGTACATAACTGTATGTACTAAACATTATTCTGCACAGATGTGTATTCGAGAAAAGATCATCGAACAAAGAGTTATCAAATTAATATTTAAACTTTTTCCAAGATGTACAAAAGAGTGATCATATGAACATTTAAGCTTTTTTCCAAGAACGACAAAGAAAAAATGCCAAAGAAATCAAGACAAAGTAAAATACAAAGCAGCGCAGTTAGTTTAATTGATTGGTTAATAATGAAAATGAGCTCATGTTATAGTTTACTTTAATATTTATGTAACAAGAAAGCAGCGGAAATCACAAGAACATAAACAAAATAAAAAAAAAAGTTGATATTTTTTTACATGTAATTTGTAAGCAATTTTTTGTTGTAAGCAATTTTTTGTAAGCAATTTTTTGTAAGCACTAAAGAGGTTATGCAATCGTTTATATGATATCATATTTGGCGGAAAATTACATTTTTGAATACATTGTTTCCAAAGATTTTTATTTCATGACAAACAAATATATATTAATCATTCGTGAGATGAATAAATATTATATTAATACAGATAAAAATGGGAATTACAATACTGCAATAACCTGAGTCAAAGTGTTACCAGGTATATATTATGATACCAATTTTATTTCTTCCGCAATCAAGTTTGTTAAAAGAAAAATCGCATGATTAATAGTAAATAGTACGCCACAGATATTTTTGATATGAGAAGTTTTTTTTTTGGGGAGGTTTATTGTAATACGACGAACATGTTTTGGGGTGCTACGTCTAAGGGCATAATGATATGTATGTGAGTACGTACTGTACGTATTTGCGTATCAAGTATGTAAGTACGTATTTGCGTATCAAGTATGTACGTACTGTATGTACTGTACGTAGGTACGTGTCCTAGTTGTTAAAGTAACTCGGAGATCCGATAATCGACATCTGAAATACGTACGTACTTACTATTTAAGTCAGGTGAACAAGTAAGTAAACGGCAATGACAAGAAATATTTTTCTTGGAACAAAATAATTTTAAGGTTTTTAACAAAGAATCAAAGGAAAGATTTCTTGGAATTACATTTGCATGTGTGTTTATTAAAATTAAACATATCTGTGCATCCTTAGTCTTTTAGAAAGTCTTTTTACGTAGAAAGTTTTTTTTAGAAAGTATTATAATATATTATCATTGATCATCATTTGAATTTACCAAGAGACAATTTACAAAAATGAACATAAAATGACAAGTTTTGAAATTCAAAATTCAAAAAAAGGTATTGGATTAGTAATTAATTATTCCGCCTTAAATCATTCATAACTATCTAAAAACGGAATCCGTTCAAAAGAAATATCTTATCTTGCATTCAATATTATACTTACTATTATGCTTGTAAACATGATACAGTACTGTACGTATAAATAAATAACAGATAAGTGGGGGTAAACGTATGTATTACATTAACGTTAAATAACACAAAGTAAATTTTACTAAATTGAATAACAATTAGGGTTATGACGAATAGTGGTCTAAACACTAATATAATAAATATAAAAGGAAATATCAATAATAATAATAGTTCATCTTACGTTACTCTTTATATATAGACTTTCCTGCTTTCGGGTACTACATTTGACATCATCACTAAACTATTTTCGTAAAACTTGCTGCCACCCTTTCACATGAGCCACAAAATTGTGAGACAAAACCCTTTGTTTCATTTACTTTACACAAAATTCTTTATTTAGCATATTATATGAAATATATTATGGCGCATGTTTATTAAAGTTCACCGCAGCTTTGCATAAGTTAAATAAGTATCCGTAATTGTTTAACAAAAGATGTTGAACCAACAACCCTGCATTCGAACTATACTAAAAAAAGTAGTTAAACAATGAAATATTAGCTGGGAAATTTTTTTTTTATAAAAAAAATATTAGCATTTTTTTTTCGACAACCACTTTACTAAATTTTATGGAATATTTTATTTAAATTATAAATTTAAGTAGAATTCAAATAAAAAAAATTTTACCGAATTTACTTGGATAGTTGTTGAAATATTTTTGTTCAAAGTTTTAGAAAAATTTACCGCGGCTTCCTATTTTGACGTTATTAAATTAATTTAGCCGATTTTTGTAGATCTTAATTTCTAAAAAAAATAAAATAAAATAAAATAAAATAAATCGATATTGGCCTATACATTGTACTTACAACTTGTTTACAGCTTGTTAACAAGAAAAATAATATTTTGATACGTCATTTCATATTCATCCTGTAAAAAAAGTATAAGTATTAAATTATTAAATTATATTTTAAATTCTTGGAAAATTCTTATCGGTTAATTTAGAACATCTCATTACTTGTTAAGGTCATTCCTTGCCTTTTTTTACAATGTGATCAAATCAATAAATATAAAATTAGACTATTACTATTTTATAAATGCGCAAACTGACAATAATTATTATTAATGTTATTCTTAACGCAGTAATAAATAACTCTTCTGCATTAAAGAAAAGGAAAACAATGATTATATTACTACGCATCTATAATTTCACGCGTGTTATTACCGTTATAACTATAACCTTAAAAAAATATGTATTTTCACTCAACAGGAAAAACCAAGAGCTTTTAAACAAAGGTGAATGATTAAAAATACAAACAAAGAAGGAAATTTATCAATGCAGAAACTTTATTAATTATAATAATAATAAAAATAATTATCATAACTTAATTCTTCCACATTCCTGAGTAACCGACAATCTATAAAATTGTTTTGAGATCGCGTGCTTCGGATGTTTATTTTAGAAATTTTAAAAATGTATTAATTTATGAGTACGTACTCTGACTCTGTAAATGTATAATCTAAAAATGATCGATCATTGTATTTACAATTCATCTATAATACGAAACAATTATATATTGGAAAATTTATTGTGTCCATTATCTTCAATTATCTTCTTAATACAAGACTTTTTTAATCTCATTTTTAATTTACATTCTTAATTATCTTACTGTTTATTGTGGATTAAAAAGGAAATATCGGATTTACTTCTTTTACCTACTAGAATACGTAACAACGATAACGTCAATCAAAGAAAAAAAAAGGATTTTCAAAATAAAAACGTGTTTAAAATTTTATCAGCCAACAAAGATTAAAAAAGGATTTTATCCGTCTTTTACTATTTTTGATTCTGAACGCAGTAACATCTTTTATGCAATACATGCGCCCAAAATATTCTATATTTTTTTCTTTTTTTGGATTTTGGTAATACGCTTTTTTTTTTTTTTTTTTTATATATACATTCTATTGTAAAAAATTGGACCCCACACCTTTCTTGTTAAAACAAAGTAAAAAGTAAATAATATTCGCATAATTCTAAATTTTAAATAAATTAAATAAATATATGCTATTATATGCTAGTTATGTTATACATATTTATTTATGTATTTAAAAAAAAGAACATAATTACTTGAAATTAGTAACCTTTTTTTTTCAAGTTTATTTCTGTATTTATGAAACATAATAACTTCTGATGATCTTTTCTTTTTTTCTTCAAAAATAGACGTACGAAAGTGCTAAAATATATCCCCTAAATTTTCTTATCTATCAAATCGAAAAGTCTTTGCATACATATCTAGTAAATTTTTTTTTTTTTATTATTTCTATATTTGAAATTGGATAAATAATAATTACTTTATATTACTTTATATATATTACTTTATATATTTACTTTATATATATTACTTTATATATCAGTTATTATAAAAATATACGTACTACTACGGTATCTTAAGAATTTTTTTATATAAACTCGCATCTTTACCTTTATGGATTGTAGCTTTTTTTGTAAAAAAGTCTTTTCAATAAAAACCTAAATGCTTAACGAAAGATTTAATCAATATATATAATTTTAACAAGAAATACTTTAGCGAACAAATTATTTAAAAAAAATTTACGGATTCATTTTATGCGCTAAACCTTCGCTTTTTTTTTTTTTTTTTTTTTAATCTTCGCCTCTTATTACTTTTTCGCTTATTTAAATTCTTTTTTTTTTTTTCTTATTTATTTTTCTTCGATTCTTAAAAAGAAAAAAAAAAAAAAATTCTTCGAATATTTAATATTTATTATTATTTCACTTTTACAATCTTAATTACCTTCACAATTTTTCATAAGTTTTTACTATCTTTACAACTTTTTTTGAAATAATCGAAATGACGGTCAACAGACTAGGCAATCCTGCTCGCTTTTCAGCTCAACCTGATCATTTACGAAGAACAAACTCTTCTCATTCACAACAAACAAATTCTGCTAAACGAAGTCGAGGTCCAATCAATAAAAGAGCTTGCCAACGTTGTAGACAAGGTAAAATTAAATGCGATGGTGACGCAGAAACTGAAAAACCTTGTTCAAATTGCGACCCTGAATCCTGCAAGTACGACAATAGTCCCAGAAAAAATAAGCAGGTAGAAAACCTGAAGCAAAGATTGCAAAAAGTTGAGGAACAACTTATTTCTATTTATAAAAGTTCCTGTGAAAAATCGGAACAAAACCTCTTCGAAAAAGAAACTCTTATTCTTTTATACGAAAATAAAGAACATTTTAACAACAGTTCTACTACAGTATTTCAAGGTTTAGTTGAAGCAATAAGAAATTGCCAACTTGACAAACAACTTTTATCATTTACTTATTCTCTCTTACAAAGAATTTCTACACATAAAGACAAAATCCCTGGAATAATTGAAAGTTTACAAAGAGTTCTTTGCGCCGCTGACGATCGCGCAAAAAATCTTTCAGTTCCTTCCGCAAATACTCACCTTGAATCACAACAACAACAACAATATGATTCTCCTATAATTTCTGGTAGCGTAGATCCAACAATGGTATTAACTGCCAATCAACCCAATTTATCTCCACTTTCTTCTTTTGATAATAATAACTTGTGTCAGAACTGTGAAACAAGTTGTTTAAATCATGTCCACACATCATCATCTGATGATGATGGTTCTGAATCATTCAACGGTGCATATGAATGTAATGATGATGGTAGCGGTGGTCCTTCTACACCAAACGAACAAAACCATAATGGATTTGATGACTCTAAACAATCTTATTCATCAAATGGATCAATTCATCCACTACCTGGTTCATCACAAATTTTAGGAATGCCAGATTATTACCAATATTCTTATAATCTTACACCTGATTATCCTTATCTATTTTTTGAGAATACGACGACCACATCCCCAACTGATGAGAATAGTTTTTATCCAAGTTAAGAAGAATCATATCATTACACATTATTAATAACACATAATTGCATTTTCCAAAAGTTACATAGATTTAAAATGCATTCGATTAAATGTCTTTAAAAAAAAAAAAAAATTTTCAATCAAGGGATATTTGTACATAAGCATAAAACTTTTTATTTTTTTTTAAAATTACCTGAATGTAAACACCTTATTTTTTTGTATTTATGATATATAGTAAACATCGATTTTTTGTAGTTTTAAGTATCATCTTTATTACTTTTATTATTTGAATTATTAAAGAAAAAAAAAAAAAAAAAAACATTTAAGAAAAATTAATGTCTTGTTTTTTTTGGGGGTTTTTTTTTCTTTTTGTATATTTCTTGTGTAGACTTTTCAATTTTTTTTTTTTCATTCATGACTGACAATACAATTATTGCTAAGCATAGCAAAGAGTTATATCTTGGACAATTTTTATTTATTATAGTATTTACAGTAGTCATTTATCATTTTTTTTTTTTGTAAATATCGAAAAAAAAAAAAATTCAAAAAAAAATAAATAAATTTAGAGACATTGATTGAATCTATCTTTGATTTTATTTAACCTTGTATGTCTTGTCTATCTTATATTTTACATATCGATATATAATTTTATATACAATCTCGTTAAAATAAAAAATAAAAAAAATTGACGTCAACGTGTTAATAACGCGCAATTATCATAATTATAAGTAATTATCAGTAATTATCAGATTATTTAGTAATTATCAGTAATTATCATCATACTAAAAATTACGCGTCAAAATCTGATTATTTATTTCGGTTTTTTTCACTAGCCTCAATGAACTTAAAATTAACTTAGAGTATTAGGATAAATTTCCTTTTTTTTTTTTTTTTACTTTCTTTTTTGCATAGTATTTAATAAAGTTTCTTAACATTAACGTTAGAATGTGTGATTCATGCAAATAAATTTGAGGCTGAATTAAAATTTCTAAATAAATTATAGTTTCAAAAAAATTACCTCTTCTTTCTGCAAAAATTTAAAAGTACACATCAATTCGTACTTACTAATTCGTGGCTATGCTTTATAACATCCAAATTGAGAAATACATATGGGTATGGATAACTGCGATATTTGTATCACTGCTTTTTTTTTGTGATTTTTAGGGCCTTTTTTAATGTTTGCTGATAATCATAAACAATTAATTTTATTCCTACTTTCATGAATCTTTCTTCCTTGACAATAAGTTATGGCAATTGTAGATTATAGATAAGCAATGATGATTTAATTGAAACGATAGGAATTTAATTGTCTAATTTCCTCTTCTTAGTTTTGATTAAAGTTTATAATAATAATAATAATAATAAAAAAGGTTTACAATATTTAGAATTTTAGGAACATACGATACGTACATTACAGTATGTATAATAATGATGCATTTTTTCGTATCTCCGTGTACAAACATGATTCGGCCGACATTGATCACTTTCCAAAATCGATTGTTTTTGATACTTATAATAAGCGAATCTTTAATTAAATCGCGAGGTAACACTTTAAAACCTCATGTTAAATTTCGAATATTTCGAATCTTTTACGATACACAAATTTTTATTACAAATTGTAACGCGCGATATCTTCTCATCGGTTTTCCCAAGCACAACGTTAATAAAATGTAGCAAAATTCTGTACCATAACAAAGATCCATCCTATTAATATCAATAATATTTTTTCAACTTTTTTGCTCACAAACACGAAAAAATAATAATAATTCTGCTGAACCTTACAATCTTATCGTGCAAAAAAAAAAAAAAAAAAAATGCGCGTTTCTTTTTTTATTCCGACGTGGTGTTCTCTACCGGCCTTGTCTAACAAAAATAGTTCATGATTCATGCAATATATCATTAACTCGAATATAAATATGTATATATTTTTCTCACACTCTTTCATTATAAACCTTATAATGGTTTATTCTTATCAAAAATGTTGTGCTCGGATAAACACATTATAACCGAATAATTTTTGTGGCAAGACGATTTAACAATTAGTAATAATCAGCGCGCCAATTGACTAAAATAATCGAACAACAACTAATATATGGTACGTACCCTGATTTAACGATATTTTACTTGCAGCGCACATGAAAATTATTAAAAAAAAAAAAAAAAAAATTAAACAAATACATTAATAAAAAAAAAAAAAAAAAAAAAACCTAATATCGAATGAATGAATGAATAAAACTTTTTTATTTATCTTTACCTGATAACTTTCGATTATTTGTCATTACATATCACTATCAATATCATTATTAATCATTATTTATTTATCTTGTTATTTATTATTATTATTTATTTACGATTAAAAAAGATTTTCAAAGTCATAAGATATAATTGATTTTTTTTTTTTTTTTGACACAATGTAAACAATCCGCTTTTGATTAACGATTAAAAAGTTGAAAGACCATAATAATTGAATTGAAATTATACCAATTTGGATTAATATACAAACTTAATATTGATTTATTGTTGAAAAAAAAAAGAAGAAAAAAAAAGTTTCTTTCAATACGTAAGAGTTTCTCTAAAAAAGCATATGAACATAGCATGTGAACACAATTCGACGTAAGTGCTTTCGTGTTCAGTATTATGTAAATACAGATAAATCTGTAATGGATGAAGACCTATTGGGAAGTAGTCTTGTGCTAGCATGAGTGATGCGGGGAATACAGCAAGAACTTAAAACGAATAAGTTGTAGTGTATAAAAATCTAGGATAATATAATTACGGGTTGTAATACGTGAGGATAAGTCTAAGTCACCATGTAATAGAATATGTAATCCCCTATAATTTGTGATATTAATAAAAGTTATTGCGACAAAGCGTTCGCCCTTTAAAAAAAAAAGTTACTTTCAATAAATAATAATCATTATTGCTCTCGCAAAGTCGAGGTTTAAAATTTTATTTTACTTTCATTTCATTATTATTATCTTGGGTCAAAGGTGGTTTAGTTATATCATATCCTAACTTTTTTCTATATGATAAATTGTTGGCATTTCATGATGTTTCTTGCTCTTACTAAGCTTCATAATCGAAAGATGTCAAATAAATGAATGAATGAATGCTTATTTATGAAGTAATTAATTCATCAAGTTTCTTCTTACACTTTTCTTTTGATGATTAAAAAAAAAAAAATAATAATATTCATTTCAATGTTTTTTTTAACTTATTAGGTAGGTAGGTATCTTGGGAAGATCTAGAGATCTACTATCTTTTACGTATTTCCTGTCAATTCCTACAAACAAATATGCTTAATTTTCTCCCATTTTCGCCTCGCCTCTTGCTTTTTTTGGATTTCTTTAAATTAGTTAAATGTTAATGTATTACACAATTTACAGATCCCCGCTTTATGCGGACCGCTTTTCCGCTAACACTAAGTTTGTTTCAAACAATGCGGATTTTGATCGACGGACTCTTCCCGATTTGTCACCTATGTTGCTTTTTTTTTTTTATTGCATATGTTTTGAATTGTCCGTGTCCCCGGTGACTTTTTTCATTTTCACGTGAACTCAGATAAATTCAAGTAAAAATAATCTTATTGTTTTGATTATTATTATTATTTTTTTATTCTAACGAATTTACTCTCATGAAATCTTCAAAAAATATTTTGCCAATAAAGATGTGGGTATATGATACTGAATTATTATACTATTATTGCCGATAATATGTTTTCAAAAAAACTACAATTTTATTATTATGTTAATGTATTTGTAGCCATAGGTTACTATAGCTGTGACTATCAAAATAATTTTTTTATATAAAAATTAATTAATTTCTGAGTCTCTTTCTCCTTAAGTAATATTTTGAGGTTAGTTACTTTCTTCCTCTTTTAGCTCTTTTCTTTACTCTTCATCTTTATTTTTGTCTTTGTCTTATACTTTTGAAGTAACTTCATCTTTATTTTTGTTTTTGTTTTATACTTTTGAAATGACTTCATCTTTTTTCTTTAATTCTTTATATTTTTTTTCTCTTGTCTGAATGCTATCTAGTATTAGTTCTATATACTCTATTGGCTAGCTCATAATATATTGTATTAATTTTTTGAGTAAATTTGTTTTTTTATATATTTTTTTTATATATTTATATTATATGAATTAATTTGCGGATGTTTTATAGAATAGGTAGGCAATATAAGAAATAAGCTTCACTAATAATTAGTAATCATTAATTTTTAATATGTTTAGCAGAGTTTGTATATTTATTCTATAGAATATTCTAATTTGCATTTCAGATTAAGTTTTAAGTTTTCAGATTTTTTAAAAATTTCTTTATATTTTTTTTAAGTCTTAACTTCTTATATTGTTTTTTTTTATACTTTTAATTTTTTTACTCTTCTATTATAGTATAATATTTCTTTATTCTTTTTTTTTTTAATTAATGTTTCTAGTACTAGTTTCTAGTACTAATTTAAATTTAATTAGACAAATATACTCTTTTTATAGATTATTTGAACTAAATTTGGAGCTAAAAAAAAAAACCAAATCAACTTGAAATTAGCAGTAGAAAATAATATTTAGAGCAATAAGTAAAAAGAAAGAGAACTAAAAAATATATATATTGTATTAAATAAACAGAAGCAAAAAGATATAAGATTGACTAACAGAAGATTTTAGACACAAAATTTCAATAAAAAAAACTTTTTTGTAGTTTTTTAAAGAATTAAGAATTATTCTAAATTGCAAATCAGTTATTATTATACAAATAAAATTATAAATATAAGTAAATTTTTGAACATGCTTTAACTAGAGACATGCCTTTTTTTATTATACTCAGAACATGTCTCTAATAGGACTCTGAGCTATACATAGATAGGTAACAATTTAATTTTGCTTATTTTTAACTATTTTTTTGCAGATCTTTACTATTTTTAGTAATATATATACTTATTTTTAACTATTTTATGCAGATCTTTTACTTTTTAGTAATTTGTTAAGATTTTTTAAAAATCTTAGCTGTATATAGATTGCTCAGGGTCCTAA